TCCTTAGAAACCAATAACATATCTAGGGGGAAGTGGGAGAGGTGGGCAGCAAAGGCACAGCCCTGGGCACTTTATATGGGATGCCAGTATTCCCCTTCCTCCTGGGAGTCTTTCCCAGGACAAGTGCAGCTCTGGGCTGCCTGGTTATAGGAGCTGGGCAGCTGCAGACCCCACAGCAAGAGGCTGGTGCCCAATGTTTCTGGTGGGGGGATAGAAAGGTGCCCTCCCTGAGGATGCTTCACCATGGAAGGCACAACCCTGCACCAGGGCTTAGGAAGAGAACAGGGCTCCAGAGGGTCCCTGGGGAGCCCATGCTGCTGCCTGTTTTTCAGCAGCAGCAGGCTGAGACCAAACTGCAACAAAAGCAGTCTCAGCAGTATCATTTGCCATCCAAGGAGAACCCTGTCAGGTAAGATGCCATTTCTACTCCTCCCCACACCCAGCTCTCCAGAGGTCAGCATAATCCCCTCCCTCTGCCATCCAAAGTACTGACAGAGATTGCTATGACTATTTTAAATAACTCTGAATTTTCAGGGGTGCATTAGTGAAATACCAGTAGTACATCAAATGGTTAACAGTAAGAACACCAATCAGATGCAAAATGTAATTATCAGAGTTCATTTTCTTCATTTATCTTCACCCCATAAAAGTGGTTATAAGACACCACTGAAAAAGGCACAACTGGGAATAAAAGTTTGTTTGTTTTTTCTCTGTCTGGGTGTACAGTGGCAGGCAAAGGAAGTGCATTTTTAAATAATAATAAAGATAACTCAGATAACTGTCTCTATGGGCTTATTCATGATGGGCCTAATTCTTTAATATTTTCTCACATTAAAGGGTTTATGTCTGGTCCCATGATTTCCATGGGATTAATCAGGTAAGGGAGATAAGAGGAATATTACTGCGAGCTCCAGAAGTTCAAAAATCACAAACACCCCCAAGATGATAAAAATGGCTTAACAGTCCTGAGGTTTTTAATATGAATGATTTTCTGTGTGTGCATCTATTTGCATTTTTATTTCAAACACTTGGGACCAGAAACGGTTAATGTAAAAGGTGTATTCCTCCTCACTGCTGTGTTGTTTCTCAATCTTAAGGGTCAGATAATGGTGTATTAAAAAAGTAGATGAATTCATGGATTTCATGGACCTTAGCAATGTAGAACAGAATTACACTTAGGCACCAAAGCCACTCAGACAGCCAATGGGTGGAAGGCAATTTAGCCTTTAAGAAGCATCTAGTTGCATATAAATGAAATAGAATTCAGTCTTTGGTATAAGGTACGCCCTGCCCCCAGTCTTCTCCTCTTCTTTTCCTGGCTTACAAATGAACTTGAAATGTATTTTGTGGGACTTGTAAGGTACAGCAGGAGTGCTTTTGCACCTATGTAGGGTCAAGGCAGTGAGACTTATATTACAACTGAGACAAAACATTTAGTTAGAGAACCCTGAAAACCAAAGATATCTTTAGAAAATCAATAAAGTAAGTCATTGGTTAATCTACAGGGCTGGATCTGACCCATGGAGCCATCAAATCTGCTCTGCAGCCATGGTTCTTTGGCAGCATTCAGCAGCAGCAGGGGGAGGGGGCGTGCTTCAGCGATGTGTAGTAGTGGAGGCAGCTTCTGTGCCACAGTAGGAAGAAGCAGTAGTGATGAATACTTCCCCCATTTCATGGCAGGAAGAAGTGGCAGTGGCAGCAGTGGCCAGATCCTAGGCCTATGTCCCTCTGACCTGTATAGCAATAACTGAGCACCTAAGTTCTATGGCATTTTTTCATTCTAAGTTTGGATGATCTAAGGTACATCATGAAGAATACGTCCTTTTAACTGTAATAATTATTTGTGAAAAAGGCAAACGCACATATATACACACACACTGAGAGACTATATACAGAATATGCATAAAAATGCATACATGCACACACACATATATAGCTATCCACATATATACACATATATGTGTGTGTGTGTATGTATGTGTTTATATGTGTGTATATATGTATATATAATATGTATGTATGTATGTGTGTGTCTATATACACGCACACACTCACACATATGGAAAAAGTGTCTTTTAAAGTTCTTTGGGACTGATCTTTTCAGGTACTGAGTTTCTTGGCTCACATTGGTTTCAGCACACAGCAGGACTGGGCCTCATATATGTACTTATTCCAATGAGTAGTCTTGCTGCCGAAAAAAAAGGTCTCATCTGAATGCTCATAAGCAAATAAATAAATACAAAGGACAAAAAATACTGGTAAATGTTCTAGGCTTGTTCTTTGAAATATTTGTTGATGCTTTTTTTTTCATTTCACTTGCAAACTCCAAAAAGGAAACAAAGATAAGTCAGCTTGCATTTCTTCCAAGTCAGATTGTCCTGCATTTGCTTCAGTTGTGGTTTATCAAATATGATTAATGATAAATACATAATAAATATGAAACATTTGTCTTGAAATATTTTGTTCAGAACTCATAAATATATTAGTAATTTTGAATGTATTTTTTCAATGTCATCCATTTTTGCATGAATTAATATTAATGATAATATGCGTGACAATGTATAACATCACTTGTAGAATCCTTAACAAAAAAAATACTAAATGTTCAAAATTATCAGCGTAATATTGTGGAATAAATCCTAATTCTTGAAATTAAGGTTAGTTTGTTGCAAATGATTTGTATTTCCTTTAATTTAGATCAGTGATTTTCAACTATTTTTTCATTTGAGGGCCCCTAAAAAACTTCAAATGGAGGTACAGACCCCTTTGGGAATTCTAAATGGAGGTGTGGACCCCTCTGAATTGTAAATGTGGGTATTCACATACTTTTGATTGATCATAGTCATCTTTTGTGGACCCTTTAGACACAGTCTGTGGACCCCCAGGGGTCTGTGGACCACAGGTTGAAAACCACTGATTTAGATGGTTGTTGCTTTTTATACATTGCTATTTGTCCATACAATATATCCCAATATGATCCAAATACTGTAAACACCTATGTATTGTGTTTAACTTTAAGCATCTGAATATCTGTCTTCACTTGACATCTGGAATCAAGTTTGGATTTTATGGTACCAAAATCTTGTTAGTTCAGCTCTCTTTGATAAACGTATCAGATTTATTTTTACTGTGGTTTAGGTTTTTTGGGGGTGGCTCTTACTCTTGGTGCTGCTTTTTTTAACTACAGAAAACAGAGTTTTAAGCTTCATTAGAACTGGGAGGGTGAGGGTGAGGTGAGGGGTACAGAATTCTTCTGTTTTGGATCTAAGAGGGTGACATTTTTCTTTTTTTCTCTCTTTGGGTCTGAGTGGAAGCCAAGGGCAAAAGGCAGGTTTGAATTCAAGAGTCTGTATCTGAAACTTAGCTAAACATCTGAGAGGTTTGGCTTCCTGGTCTCATTTTTGGTCCATCTCTATTTAATTTTTTTTTTCCAATGGAGTGGATTTCTGATTCAATCTCTCCATCTTCATGCAATGTATGACTTTATTTGTAGTCCACAAGTCATCTGAATGATGAGGTGAGAATGTATTTAGATATTAAAATAAATTCTAAGCCTCAGTGATTTTTTCTGCATCTACTGAAAATCAAGTAAAAGCTACAGAGACTGACCCACATATAGAATTTATACATACCAACCATAAATATTACTTGTTAGTTTTGCAAATGTGATCAGTAAATATTTATTTCTTCTTTTCAGCATTCCTGAGACATGCATTTTGCATTTCATAAATTGCAAATTAAAAATTAAAAGGTGAACTCCTGGAATAGTATTTAAAATATGGTATACTATATTATTTTTTATAGGAAATAGAGATAAGATTTTTGTTTTTATAGAATTCACCTTCCTGGGGTTTCTATTGTCTAGCTGCTATTTAGGCACTTCAAGCCTCATAATTTAATAAGTGGAGCTACAGAAAGTCAGGTGTGTTTTGATCCTTATATTAATAAACTATGACCCACGGCTAAAATTCTAAAGGGATGGAGTGCTATCTCTTTTGTTCCGTCCTCCCTTATAATACTGAATGTAAATTGACCCACTGTACATTTTCAGATCAAGCTTAGAGCTCAATTTAGATTTGAGCACATTCAAACTTCTTAAAACCCAAGTTTCATTCAAATGTGAGTTTTTCACTGCACACACAGCTCTAATCAAAAGTGGAGCTGTATAGAAAGGTTTAAATTTAATCCAAATCTCAGTGAATTTCATGAATCTGCCTACTCAAGCTTTACATGAGTGGGCTCATAAATGTTATTTCTACTTTTATGCATGATAGATTGCAGGCTGCTGCTGCTGCTGCTTCTTCTGGGCTTCACAGCAAATACCACAAGCCAGAGTTTGCCTTTACCTTCATGCATTTTTCATAGATCCAGCTAAAAGTAAAACTGTACTGATTGATAATGGCTAATGAATGTGTAAACTGTTAGTAAATGTTTTCCACAGGTTACTAGCTTGTGTCACAGGCAGTTGAACTGGATAACTGATTATCCATAAAGATCACATTAGTACATTAAAGAACAATTTGTCAAATACGCAGGTGACAGAAGAAAGCTGAAAAAGGAGGGACATTAGATATTTGTTATGTTGCATGCGTAAGGGGTCCCTGTGCATGATAATAGACAACTTTTTGGATACTTTACTCCACATATAAATGTTCTCAGGTTCCTCATCCGCTTCCCCCACCCCACCCCTCCTCCTCCTCCCAGGGAGAAATAATATAAAATGTTTCCAGTATTTCTGTAAAGGAACATCATACACAAAGAATCAACTTGCACTCTTTTCCCTTCTGACAAAGCCACATTTCTGCACACTTGCAAACAGTTTTGGAATCAGCACCAAATGGATGCTCATAGATCACTTTAGAAAAAAGTGACAGATTTGGCTGGAACTTTATTTAAACACATATTGCAAGCTAATGCCTATAGTTAACTTGTATTTTACAAAATGAATTTCTGGAATGACATGATCTCTATCCTTTCCTGCTGTTGTTGTTTAGTGACTCCATTTTTCTCACCACTGCAAGCTAAACCCAGGATGTTTTCCTGGTCAAATGTATGAATCAAATGAGATAATGTTCCTCATCTCACATGTCATAGACTTCTAGAACCAGGTAAGAGTGAACAGTTGGTAGGATGACCCACCTTGTTTTCTGAGGAATTTTTCTAAGGGGCAAGATAAAAGGCAAGGTGTAAGATGTATTTCACATCAAGATGGACTTAATTATTTTGAAATAATTTATCAAAGCTGATTTTTTAAATGACCACCTTTAGGTTTCAGATTCAAGCATGCCAGTTAAGTAAGGCAGTTCATACTTTTCAGAGAGAGGGGTTTTTTTCTGACTTCATGAAGTTCCAAGAAGACTCCACTGCATCACAACCACTGAATTCTCAGTTTCAAGGATTTCTCCACAACTCTAAAAGGCAGAAGCGTGATCAGATGCTGGTGGAGTGACAGTGAATTATATCAGCTAATGAATGTGTAAACAGTTAGTAAATGTTTTCCAGTGGGTTACTAGCTTCATTCTAAGCCATAATATTCTAAAAGTAATGAAATCTTAGGTTCCAAAGTCTGATATTCTGTGGCAAATTCCTGTCTGCCCCACATGATAGGATCACAGAAGCCGCACTTATGTGTATGTGTGGAAGCCTCAATGATGAGTGGTCCTGCCTGGAGAGAAACTTCGCATGTGCAAGCAGAGGCACTGACAGTGGCTCTGGCACTGCAATATCCTCCAGCCATTTCCTTGGCTCTCTTAATCTGCCTCTTCTCTGTACTGCCTTTCTTCCAAGCACACATTGGCCCCAAAGGGTTCCTTTTTCCCTGCTTCCTCGTGCCAAGCTGAAAGGCTGTCCCCTCAAACTGCCTGCAAACTGCTTTCCCTGTTTGCTGCCCCCATTTGATGGCTCCCTGGTGGCTTGGGGAGTCTCCTTTTATACTCTGCTGGGCCTGGACTGGTTCTGTCCCCTTGGTAGGGCTTGTGTCAGACACAGGCAGCAATCACTCAGCAATCACTCAGCTAGCAACACTTCCAGCTTCTCAGAGCACATGCCCCAAACATACGTACAGCCCACCAAACAGCACTTTGCATGGGCTGCTTGGATACTTGGAATCCTGCTACTCAGAAGGGAGACACTTGAACCTTTCACCATGTCACAGTCAGCATCTCATGTAGACGTGGCCACTGAGGAGAAAGAACTAGTTGTGCTAATAGTGCTGACACAAAACAATTGTGTATAAACTGAACACCCATAAATTTTAGCTGGAAATTGGAAGAATGTTCCTAATTATCAGAGGAGTGAGTGTTTGGAGTAGATTTCCAGGAGCAGTTGTGGGGCAAAATATATTTCTGAAAGAAGTTGTAAGCCATGATTGCCTGAACTAATACAGAACTCTGTGAACCAGGAAGTCTTCCTAGTCCTATGTCCAGAGTACCTATATTCCTATGTTTTACAATATAACCCAAGGAACAAGAAAAGATTTAAGCCCAGGGGCTTCACAAGGAGCTGGCAGTACCTAAAATCCATGAAAAAAATCATCCATTTCAGTTCCTAAATACATAACTATTAACCTTAGACTCTAAAGGCTATGATTTTGGAAAATGAGCAGTGATATGGGATGTTTCCATATTTCAGATTCTGATTGTCACAGCCTGAGTGCTCTGTAGGTTCTGGAAATTTGGTCACTATAAGGTGTCTCAGGTTGAGCATGCAAAAAACAAGGCATTTCATATTATTTCATTTGCAATGCCATTTAAACTGTTTTTTTAATTTAAATAATAGATTTGCCTTTATTTGTATTATTTGGGTAACTGTACTGAAAGATAGGGAAAAAGGCTTGAGACATGGCTGTTTCATATATACCAGTATACCTTTCCAAGACAAATGATAACACCATATAAAATCCAGATATTTTAAAATTATATTTTAATTTTCATGTAATTATTCAGGAATAACAGCACTGCATCTGCCGGGGTCAAGGGTCTGAAAACATATCTAATCTCTTTCTGATATGTGTCACATTATATTGAAAAAGCAGCTTGGGTGTCAAATTATATTTTATTATTTGTGCTATTTACCTTATTATGTGTGATTTTCTGCACTCTTTTATACGCTTATGGACATTTGGATAAATTACAACACAATATCAAGATACTACATCTTTGCTTTATCTAGTTAGTTGTGTTGACTCCTAAAACAGCAATGTGCTGTGAGAACTTCTGTTTTAATTTTTTTCCTATTTATTATCCATTCTCAGAAGCAAGTAAAGTATAAATATGAGGGATGAAATAAAAGAAAGGCATTTAAATCTGCTAGAGATTAGTTGAAACCTAATTTGTTTGATAGTGGGTGTGTCTAAACAAGATGATTTACTGCACAGTAGCCTGGTTTACTGATCAGTAAGTGCATGTATCTACAGGTGCATGTGTTTACTGCATTGTAAAAACTCTTAATCACACTTAATTTGCTACCTGCAAATGCAGGTAGCAAATTTAAGTGGGTTTAGTTATTACACAGTAATGAATGTGTAGATGTGACCCGGGAGCAAGTTTGCTTCTAGGTCAGCCCAATCACTAGGGGGCCTCCCTCAGGCTAGCCCCAGGGCTCTGGGCTGGGAGCCTCTCCTGCCCGAGGGCTAGGCTACCTCTATGGCATCTCCTGCTTCAGGCTTTAAAAGCCTGCAGATGTTTTGAGCCCTGGAGCACACATATAGGGAGACTGAAGGCACTCCAGGCCCTTTGTCCCTTTGGGCAGGCCACAGCTTACCTGTGCTAGTGGGCCTGTACCCCAGCATCTCTGCCTACCTCTGTACTGCTGTGCAGCTGGCAGGACCACCCTATCAAGGGCCTCAGGGTACTGCAGGGTACAGCCATCTGCTCCAACTTCCAGTCAGGCCTGTCAGCCCCCAGGGCCAGCTGAAGGCAGCTTCTGGCTGGTAGGGCAAGCCCCACCTGCCAGCAGCTTACCCCCAGCAGCCTGCCCAGAGCCTGTGGGTGCTGTAGGGCATTACTTCTGCTGCACAGCTGCCTGTCCCCTGCCATGCCCCTGCACTGGTCACAGCAGGCAACTGCCCAGGCCCCTCAGCTCAGGGACAGCTGAATGGGGGCCCAGATTGCCAGGGCAGGACCCTTGATCGCTTCCTCCCCATCTGCGGATATGCCCATGGCTCTACCCACCACATGAGGCCCCAGCTGGACATAGGACGAGACTGGCAACCTTGTGGCACTGTGGGGTGAGGCAGAAATGTAGTGTCAGTTTGAGCATGGCAGCCACTTCAGCACAGACATCTATGAGGCCCTGTCAGGCCAGATGCAGGAGTGCAGGCATGATCAGTTGGTGCAATTGAGCCATATAAATGTCAAGGCCTTGTGGGCACAGTGGGTCTCTGTGACTGACCACAGTTGTTGGTTCAGCAGTGCCCACAAGTCCATGCCCTTTATTTAGCAACCGATGGCCATCCTTGCACCCCAGGATCCTGACCACAATCATGCTGTATACAGTAGCATGCCTAGTCAGAGGACCATGTGGAGGATTCTTGGGCCTGGCAGGTGGTGGACATCACCCACAAGGACGCATGGGACTGGGCAGACAGGGAATTTTGGGCACAGCTCCTGGCCCTGAAATGCAAGTGGCTGGACTGTCTCAGGGAGCAGAATACCATCCTGGGTTGGGCAGTGACGAGGTCCTATGCCACTTCCAGCCATGAGGAGCCCCTGGTACAGCCCCCACCACAGGTGCCCTCCCACTAAGCCACATCTCTTAGTCCCAGACTCACCACTTGCACTGGTGCCACATGGGTGCAGAGCCACAGCTGTTTGCAGCAGGGCCAGGACTGCATACCAGCCTTGCTGGCCCTGGCCACTGGCTGCTGGAGGGGGAACCACCCACACCATGGGACCATTGGCTGCCATTGCCCCTGAGCAAGCCCTCTGCCTGCTGAACTTACTGCAGCATCCACACCCATGGGGAGAGGGCCAGAGGCCAGTATGCTGGGTGTCTGTCCCCAGGCTCTTCCCCCTAGGCATCCCCACCCCCTGGGCTGCCCCACTCCAGGACACCACAAAAAAACCCTTTGTACATTGTTTGCACAGAGAAGAGGGTTTTTTATTGTTGCTGGGTGGGATGTGTTGTGGAGGAGCTCTGTGTCAGGAAGGGAGGGGGAGGAGGAGTCTGATGCGAGAGAAATAAAGAATAAAGATTTGATCTTCTTACATGTGTCTGTAGTGAGCATGATGCTGGGGATGGGTGTGTGGATGGGGTGGGGGGTGGCAGTGCAGGTGGGCTGGAGCAGGGACTGCTGGAGGAGGTGATTGGCTAGAGCCTCCTGCACTCTGTGCACTGTCCCCTGCTGGCTGCTGTGCAGCTCCCCTGGTGCCTTGGTCAGGGGGGACAGGCCTGGTGCTGTTGCTGCCATTGGTGCTCCCATTGCAGGCATCCTTCACCTACAATGCCTCCTCTGTCCAAGCCTCATGGAACAGCTTCCCCCAGGCCTTGCAGCACACAGGCTGCAATGATGACCTGGGGAAGGTTCTCCTCAGTGAACTCAAGGCAGGCAGTGAGGGTGTACCAGTGACCCTTGAGGCAGCCAAAGGTGCACTCCATGAGGATGTGGGTCTAGCCCAGGTACTGGTTGAAATGGGCTTAGCGGGGGTCCATGTGCCCAGTGTAGGCCTGCATCAACCAAGGCAGGCATGGGTAGGCAGAGTACCCAGTGAGCAGGGGCAGGACCACGGCAGCAGCCAGCTCTAGGTCTAGCACCCCTGTCATGAAGTGGGCACTCTCCACCAGGCCTGGCAGGCTAGATTTTCAAACTACGCAGGCATTGTGGGCCCTGCACACCCAGCCAGCACTTATGTATATGAACGTGCTTCAGTGGTCCACAACGGCTTGCAGGACCATGGAGTGAAATCTCCTGCAGCCGTACTAGGGCCAGTCTCTGTGGAGAAGGCAGGTGATGGGGATGTGGGCTTTGCCCAGGGCCCTGGTACACTGGGGGAAACCCAAGCCATGGAACCCCACCACCACCATCAGGGGGTAATGGTGCAGAGCATGTCCTGGAGGGCCCCACACACCTCCAGGAAGGCCTTCCTGGCAGTGGCCTTGCCAAAAGCAA